TAAATGCCATTTTTGGACAACACTTTAGGATCTTCGGGTATGCTTTTTTTCCTTCCTGACCGATAGTATCGGTAATGGGCCGTTAGAGGCGCCACTGTGTCATTTTAATCCCATCCTAACTCGCTCGTACGGTACGCCGATGCATAAGGGTATCCTTAATCGAAAACAGATGGCACAGACCAAGTTATCGCAAACCATTGAATAAGTTAACTCCATGGATTGATGAGTGGTCCACGAATAAAGATCCCAATACGTTTATCTTAATTCATTAAAACCTGTAAGTACTGCAATTTTCCCAAACTCACCCGACCGCCCTGACTCTTTAATAAATTGTCCTGCGTGTCCCTTCTTACGTCCTTTCTGAGTATAAATGAGAAATACATATTTTCTACGCTCAGAATAAATAAATAAATTTGAATATTCGATACGAGCGGGTAAAAGGAAAGCTCTTGAAATGTAGTATATGAACACAGATACATTGTTCACGTGCCTACCCTGTATAAGCTTCCGTTTGAATATCTAACTGTACCATTCTGACGCAATCAGGCTTGTCATGACTTATAGCGAACTACTTTTGTCCAGCCAGGAAATTTTAGGTAACTCGATTTCCAACTTTTGTTTCATGCTCGTAGATAGTGGCTCGACAAAATCCACTAGTTTTACCCGGTGTTACCGTAACTGGAAGATATTTCCAAGATAAGTCAGATAAACACTAACTTTTCTTCATTTTGGCAACTGCGTAGAGTCATTCGCTTTTGTCTGTTTTTTTTTGTTTTTTAATAAACTGTCACGGTACACCTGGCCACGCGTTATTAGGCTGTGCAATTTTTTCGGGCTCGTTATTTTTTTGTGTCTTTACTCATTCAAACTACATAACGCCTTTTGCACGGTTAAACATGAACAGTTTGGACTGACTTCCGGTAACAAACCAGTATACTTTCGGAATGCTAGATATAAAATTAAAAGTAATGGGAAGTCCTTCAATCATGTACCAAATTAAATTAAATTCAAGAAAGTGTTGGCAATGACTGGATGTGTCATGTTGTTTTAAATTGACCCATCGTTTCATATAGAATAACATAAATTCTTTTTATATATACAAATATAAAAAAAAAGAGACTATCATTAAGAAATTACACTGATAGTACAGCATGATACGTTCCATGTGCTCTCTGTACACTTCTTCACAGCCTTTTTTTTCACCGTGCTGCCAACTACATAAACATATTATGTGTACGAGCCAATCAGCTCAAATGCACTAATTGAAGTTGGCTTTCGCATATAAACGAAATGGAAGAAATAACTTCAGTTGATGCATTTCATCTGATTAAGCCTATTCACGCGATAAGAGAAACAAAAGAAGCATCTAGCAGATTGTGAATATCGGGTCGTCAGGATTAATGCGAGAGAAGAAGCATGATGGGAAAAAATTCTCGTATCGATATATACCATGAAGTAACGAGCATCCGTATGCATGATAATGATAAATACCATTAAAACTTTCCTAGAACAAAGTAAGCTGGGTAGAGTCATAGCAAAAAAGTATGAACAGTCGTCTCGTGGATCTTTCGTTCAATTGGTTAGCCTTTTGAATCGCGTTTGTCTCGTTAGCATTGATGTTTGTTCAAGTAGTGTGCAGCACTAGCGCTCTCGCACGATATACATTTTCATAATGTCAAGATAGTTCGGTAAAACAATATAGCAAATAATATTTTTAAATATTAATTTAACCTTCGTACATAATAATTGATCGCATAAGCAATTCATAATGCTTCTCAACATTTATTATATGGACGAGGTTTGGCTAGTTCAGTAAACGGTAGTACTAATTGCAAGTAATACCTTCTGTAAATACGTATGCACGCATGACACAGCACATGATTGGTAGCTACTAGCTTCAACTGTATAATCTTGCTAGATAGAAGTTGTTACAAGTAAAAAAATAAATAATAAACTATGCGGTAATAAAGATTATGTGAAAAAATTCCGTGGAACGCCAATAAAAGTGGTATTAAAATTTTGAAAATTTTTTACTTTACCGACAACGTATAAGCAGAGGGCATTCCAATGAAGACAAGTACAAACGCTACGCGAATACGTTCCACAGGTTATTCTCCATAACCGTACGGTAAGCAATATTCGGTTTTTATGAATGAGCGCCCTAGACGTCATGGTTTTCACTAATAATATATAATTTTTACAACATAGGTCAAATTTCGGACTTTTACGTAAAATAAAGATTTCTGGTCAATTTTAGATATTTTCACTTCATTATGTCAATTTTGGTACTTTTGTTAATTAATATCTCATAAATTAGACGACAGAACTCATTTCGATTTAGTACAACGGTATAGGAACTCTTTTGGTTGAGTAAAATAAAATAGAAATCAAACTCATGGTAGCCTTCCTCCAAACTCCTTTAAATACATCATGGTGTTATGACATCGTTAATTAAGTTATACAAGCCTATCAAAGTAAAGGGGATTGGAGGTTCAGAAAATTGGAGGACTGCGGCATCATTTTCAACTCCGCAGAATTACCGAGGTTCGTGCAGTTAGGTTGGTTAGATATACTTTATTCGAAGTAAGTGCGCTGCTGTAAAATTGGATCGTAAATAATAAACATGAATATCGTTGTAACAGGCACGTACGATTTCGCTTGGATGAGGTAATTATCGCAGGAGTATAACCAGGGCTGAAAATTGTCATTGTCACTCGACGAATTCCATCCGGATTGACGCTATATGATTGCCTTCATTACGGCATAGTTTAGCCTGTATACACGTATTTCACACCTGCCACGCAACGATACAGGCAGACACGAATGATACATGTGACGTTATCGCGTACTGGTTGATCATATTTTAGGATGCTATTTGTAACAATTCCAGTACAATTGCATTTTAATTTTTTATAATTACCATTCTACCTGCTTTTTTGCGAAATTATAGCAGAATTTATTTCAAATTTTCATGCACAAATTAGTCAATATTCTGTAATCTTATTTGTGCTAATAGAACGGATGGCTGTTATATGTGCGTTTCCATATATTTTATTAAAATTTACAATTCATACATAATTTATGTTGAGAAAAAGTCATAGCACCTAAGTAAACAAATGTTTTTGTCAAAACTTTAACTTTTTTTTTTATTTTGCATAGGAAATTCAGTAAATGCTATTATAAAATGCACAGTCGATACGAGCATACACGACACTTACATGACTGTAATTTGTCATTAAAAAAGTGGTTGATATTTTGTCGTTATGAATAAAACAAGTGTTATATTATTTCCATATATTTTCGTGGAAATTTCAAACAGCCGTTTACCGTCCCTTGGTGAAATTGGATAAATGCTTGTAATGGAGAGGCCACGCGATGCCTATGCAGAGAAAGGACAAATAAATGTGTCCGGATAAAATTCGGAGGAAATCGCTTGGCGTGGGTTAGATTTATGGTAAGAGTGGGTTCTCGAGTATCGATGGCTATGTAGGTACTATTTAGGGGTGGAAATTAAATGGCGTCCGAGGTGACGTCGTACTCGCGAAATCCTCACAGACAATGTCCAAGTCGTTAATTTGTTTCATGCGCTCGTAAAAATGTCCCTCTATCTCTCTCGCGTGACCCTCCCAGACTGCAGTAGGTACTGCAAGCCGACTGCCAGACATCTGGCCGACTTTGTTCCATCCGCACAATGTCGCGACGAGACAGAACGCGTGGGAGAGTAAGGGAGAGAGATAAAAAAAAGGGGGAAAAAGTGCCTTTCTACTATCGGAACATCTTTTCCGTATCTATGGAACGTTTTTGTCACTTTGTAAGGTAAAAAGTGAAATTAGGTGTGTCCCAAAAATAGGGCGCTTCTTTGTCGAAGACCCATAGCCATATTTTATGCTGCAGGTATAAAGAAACGTTCGAATCTGAGAGGGTTATGTGCTTACGTGGATACCTATAGTTATTGATTACTGAAACTGTCGGACTGCGGGGGGATATAAAAAGTGTAACGAGAAATAAAGAAACGGGTAGCTCATTATTTGACTCGATGAACGAGTAATTACCGAGGTCATACGTTCAACGGTGTATTTAGTCTCGTGTAGTATTTCTGCGTAGTTACAACCTATTATGATCAGCCTCCGCTGGTCCAATTAATAGCAAAACATGATCCAATTAAATATGGTTAATTGATGGTCGCTGACGAAGGTCGAAGTTTTCCTATACTAAATACACAAATCTACATGGGGTGGAATTGAGAGACGAAGAATCTCAGCGGCGTTACTCCTAGTTGAGGATTTAATTCGATTTTACATTAGATCGATCGGAATTACAACGGGAGTTCAGCTTCGTTTTCAAATCGGGAATGTTATAGGTGATTTACGTAAATGGTGTAGACGTCTAATAAAATTACGGGCTGTACATAATTATTATATTAATATTGTAATATATTATATTAATATTATATTCACATTCATTGTGACTTTATGATATAAGAATTTCGGGCAATACGCAAATTGTACTATAAATAAATAAATAAAAATAATGTAATTCTTATTGCTCTTCTATACATAGGGTTTGTTCATGTTTTGATGGAAATATGATAAAAATTATTTTCGAATGAAGTCTTCAAATTGAATGTATTATCTGCATTTAATCCGTTATCCATTAGGGATTTGATCTCAGGTATAGAACAGTTTTCATATTGATGACTAACGTATCGTGTAGCGCAGTGGACCATGAGAGGTCTCGACTACAAAGACTGCTATAAATATATTCGATATTTCATAGATTAATGTAGTATCGCCAGCACTGGATAAATACAATAGTTTATTTGATTGCTGTTTATAAATACCAGAGGTGTATACGTTATATGGTAACGATTAAAAATATTGGTTTATGTAATTTCTGTATGTATGATTTTCATGTCAAATATTGTATTTTGTTTGTGAGCTTAAACCGCGTTCAGCTATAAAATGGAAACGATGCAATGAACGATACCTTTTTCTACTAACCTTTCGTGGCAAAAATCTGGCACAATTCGCCATTCGATATTCCAGGCTGATATTCCATTTAATGTATTGCCCTGTACAGTTGTCCTCAATACCATGCAGATAATATAAGTATTCGCAAGATGATTGTTTGTCAAAGTTCTTTGCTCTTGCAAATCAATTCAGCTTCTGTTAATTCTTCTGCACTTTTTGATTAATTTGCGATACTTCAACTTGACGTTGCTTCTCTATCGTTTCCACGTATTATTGTTATGTTATATTGAAGGTGAAATCCATTTTTTTATGTCCGTGGTTAACCTATCTGTGTGATTAATACTGAGAACTTTGTTCTGCCTTATAGATAAAAAGATGACCTATATTATAAAAGCTCTCGACACAGTTTTGATCAGGGATCAGCCTGGCACGAAATTTCCAGTCAAAGGATTCGCGGAAAACTTTATTATCGAGTAACAGTCGTGCGAACTTACGTACAAGTTTCACAAAGTTTTCGGCAATTCAGTGCCGAGTGACTCGCAGCCGTTTATCATTTAATTAAATATTCGTGTAAGGGCGTGCACCCCTTTTGTCGAACAATAGCTATTTCACGTCAAATAAAAACCATTAGAAGAAATCAACTAGATTTAAAAGTGCCAATAAAATATTCGTAATCTCATAAAAATCGAACGATTAAACTGGATCGTAGAATAGACCAAATCTGATTTTAGCATTTAGTCACTGGAATCACTAAATAAAAGAAAAACCAATTCATAGCATTCAACCTTTGTAACAACTGTTTCACCAGTCCGGAATTTTTTAAATTCAAACTGCGTAACGTTTAACAGAAAATAAAAAAATTCTCGAGCACGTTTTTGTTTAGTGTAAAAGTCTTCCTCTCTTTTCTCGTTCTATTACACGAATCATAATGGGAAAGTTTTGTGGCGTCCAATCCCCCCGAAGCCTCCGCCGGGGCGCGCGACGTCGCGACGCGCTAGGTGGTGAATCCGAGAGAGGCGTCGTGGCGTTACGGAGGCTGACGACACACTGACTGCTCGACGGCGCCCATTCCTATCTCGAGCCCCACAGTCTCCTAACGGCGCTCAGGCCAAAATCCACCCCCGCATTTCCAACCCCTTTATTCAGTCCCGTGCCCTCTTATCAAGGAGCTATTGCCCGTGATTGCCGGAATCCCTGATCGCTCGTTCTCCCTAGGAGCGATCGCGAATGCACGTGACTGATTGTAAAGCGACCGCTGTGATCGTAGCTGGTCGTAGAGATCTCGATCCTTGATACGTACATATATTTCATTCCATTCATGAATAATCACTCGAATCAATGAGCCTGAATCCACGGTAAACAAAAAATAAGAAATTTATACATATTTATGAGACGTTTCGCAATCAGCATTTCACTTAATTGCGGAAAGCGTTTAAAGGACATTCGTTATCATTCTATTACGTAAGTGATCTCGGAATTCCTGAAATGGCATTCTACTGTATTTAATGGACTGACTATAGTGATAGCAGCGATCGAGTGAAAGACAGGCAAAAGTGCAAAATCTATAATTGGTTCAAACGCAATTGGCGAAAAACAATCATTTCTCTAGAATGCATTTACATTTGAATAATCGATCAACGCGTTTATGACGGCTTAATAAATCAATAGAAAAGAGCAAATCAAATTGTTTTAGTGACGGTGGATTTCGCGCGCTATTATTTCAGTTAAGGAACGTGTTTACACTTATACGTATGTGCATCTATACATAGAATATATAAGTGCTCGTATCTGGTTACATAACTACCCTCCATTTCCGGATGCACTGACGAATACTTACTTCCTGGTCTTCCGAGTCTTTTTTTTACCATAATATCATCAGTGAATGCTGATAAGTCGATTCCGAGTCGTTTTTACTCCGCTGCTTATTTGCATTTATTATGCTGAGGAGAAAAAAATAGAAAAGAAGGAAGAAAGGAGTGTTAAAAAATTTAACCGAGTGAGTGATTGAACGGTATACATGCGCGCGTCCTATTTTGACATTTTATTGTTATGTAACAATTGGTGCGATATGCTGTAGCGCTGCTAACTTTTTTGTGTGACTTTTATGACAATATTTATCAAGTTTTATATGAGGACTTTTTGTATATATAACTCTCACAACAATGATTGCGTATTCGTTATTTGGGATAATAAAAGACTACAAATAACAAATCCTCTTATATTTTGCCAATTTTTATATTCTTTTTCCATAGTGGGTGTATGGTTAGTTATTGTATTTCACGATGTTTGGTACAAAGTATTTGCTGCTTCTGAAGGTTCACAGTATATTCAAGGAAAGAGGATTTATGAATGAGATCGTATTGTTGTGTCTTATATTTTACATGTTTGAGAATATTTTAATGCTTTGTCATGTACCTTGCAATATCGAAAATAAATTTGAAACAAATGTCACGTGACAGAAATTTTTTCATCCTTTTGGATTATTGAAAAAAAAATTATTTTTGTCTTACGTCTGTTCCTTCGTTCAAATTCATAGATAATATTTGTTTCTTTGTTTATGCATTTTACCGTTTACTCATTGCTGCTTATACAAGATATATTAAGGAACAAGAGAATTGTATTCTCGTTTCATAAAAGGTTTCCTAATTACTGGCTTTATGCTGCACGATGCTAGCCCCAGCTAGCCGGACGTGATTTTCACAATCTTTATCCTTTTTTATCATAGCGACACTAGACTCACGTCATTACGTTTAAAATTGCCGTAATACGTAAGCGTAATTAAACAAATTAATTTAATTATTTAATATTGAATAATAGGATGTTTACTGTCTAATCGTATGGACGTGAAGAAAATTTGTTTAAACTAAACAAGGAGAGTATACTACATTTATGTTATGAGTTTGTTTTAGAGTGCATTTTTTATCAGATATTTTCTATATTTGGTTCTCAACAATCTAACGTAAATAGTACATGAAACATGTAACTAGAAATTATAACGTATATCGGATGTTGCATTGAACCTGCTATCTGGCATACTGGACAGACTGCTGCAAACTTGGCGCTGCAGACGTGCGGAGAATTACAGAAACATATTGAGTGTAGCTCAATAAAAGGGACAAAAAATTGAGAAAGAGATTTCCTGACTTCTAAAATAATTTCGTTCAATATTGAGAGGTAGTTGATTGCATAATTATTTGCATGGTGTATCCATGGCACAATATATTGGAGAGAATAATTAAATTGTAAAAAATGACGGTACATAATTAATTGTATAAAATACATATTATTTAGATCTAGAATAAAGATGTTATTATATTTTAGATACGAAATTTGCTTATTCTTCATTAATCAATATTTGTATTATATATATTAGGTTATATTTGAAACGAGCATATAAAATTTTACAAATTGACACTACCGTTATGGTCAAGTATTCTAAATGGAGTTTCTCCATATCTATAACGTTATATTAATAAGTCTATAAAGCAGAAACTTAGAGTAAACAGTTTCGCCTTAAGATCTTCATGCGATTGCTTCTCACATAAGTTTGATTGTCGCAAAAAAATGATTTGGCAGATTCGCTATTTTGAAACTGAACGTTTTGAAGTTATGCCCATACGAACCATCGTAACATGTAAAAATGACGAAAAGAAAAAGTAGAAACGCGTAAATTGGTTATGAAGTTTCACAAAATACATTCTTATTGCCCAAGAAATTCGTTCCATTACGTGTTTTAGTTTTGTAGGATTTCCTTGATTTCTGCTTAAATCTAACACATATTCCTATCCGCTTATCTAGCACGTTACACCTCAAAGCTCCTATTCTCAAAGTTTCAAAACATACTATATGAATCAAGTGCATTCGTAATAATATTTGAATCAGTTGAATAGAACTTCTCGAGAACCTTCTAAGGACAATTGAAACTGAAACACCATAAGATAATTGAATACCAAGTAATCATTATGCATGATTGCATTCACGCATAGATTTCCATCAGTTAGCTACAAGCTGGCAATGCGCTTCGCTAGTTTCACGTGGATACTGAAACAAATTCCATCCGAATTATTCTAGCCGCGAGATCTCGCGCATACGATATACCGATGAATACAAATGAGACGATCCTGAATGGAATCTGAAACTGCAGAAACATTCCACTGGAGTAAACGAACGAGAGAACCGAATGAACCCGGAATATACATATACTGCTTGTTTTCATTAAGATTTTGCGAAAATTAAGAAACGTGTACTTTCACAGCAACCACCTTAGACTACTCTTACGCAAGATAGATGGATACGATACCGAAGCGAAAAGTAAGCAGAGTGCCGGTTGAGCACGAACTACGTGAAGTTAGGAGTCAGGAAGAGCTTCGTTAAATTATATCTCCTTTCGAGTCTCATGAGTTAATTAATTTAATTCGCGTTATCGTTACTTTCCGGGTTTCAAGCGGCGAACCCAATTCGGAGTTTCATAAGTCGACGTGGATATCGGAATTTATGGTACACGGAAAATCTTTCCGAAAACTTTAACTTTCGTAACACTCGATATTCTTCCTTGACTGTAGTAGTGAAACTAGGAAAATTCGTCGGATAAAAATTCGCACTGACGTCCATTGTACTTTGGTATCCGAAGTCCGTCTATAACGCTTCGAGAAATCATCCGACGAAGTCGCTAATGAGATTATCCAGATTCCGCCTTCGTTGGTCGTAGAAGACGTTGCTAACGGGATCAGTGTTGGGAGGCGTCAAGCTTGTCCTGTGCCAAATAATTGATGGATTAGAAGGACACGAAATGGCCACCTTAAGCTTCCTTAAGCCTGCGAATGTCTTCCTAAAACTTTTCTGATTACATACCTCGAGGACCATTAGTTGTACGTGTGACTATAGTGCCTTTTCGCCTTCCATATCTTTAACTACTGAATCACGTGGTATACGTAGGTGTCTAAAGTGCCTAGGGCCTAAGACGTCCATCTCCTAGGAAGAATCCTATTAGATTCTTCTCTCTTGGATAAATCTAGAGGTAGACTGTACTAAATAACACTTTGCCGAGCCTCGGGCTAAGGTCCGATACTCAACCGTATATCGAAGAACCTTTTCAATGGGACTCTTCCCAGGAGACATTTTGCCAGCTAGCAGGAAGTAAAAAAATTGGATAAAGTCAATCCGTCCACTGGGCGACATGCACTCAGAGAGATTTCAGCAACGCGAAAGGTTCCTGGGAAAATGATTACCCAGGTACCTAGAGTATGAGGGTGGCTCTTTATGATGATCGAAAAGAGGGTCGACGCCTGGGTATTAAGGAAGAAAAATCTTTAGCTATTGTTTCGGTATGTACACAAAAGTTCAAGCACAATAGAGATTCTTTTTCTTTCGGCTAGAGTAAAAAAGGAGCAAACCCCTCTATGACGTGGTTCGCTCTTTGTCAACGAAAACGGTCTCCTCTTCTTTTTATTAGTTCGTAAACTTTTAAACCTGAATTTTCCACACGTTCCGACCCGGTTAACGTAGATACGTGTCTACGAGGGATTGTCCGTTAAACTTATCTGCCTGACGGAGACATATAAACTTTCACGGAAGGTACGAGATAACGAGCTTCTTTCATCGCGCACTGACCGATTTATACTCCGCATTTTTATAGAAGGTGTGCGTCCGAGATAAATCCATAGTCACTTGTGTTTAAAATTTGAAGTCAAGGCCCGTGAAACTCTGAGGATATTTAAACGAGCAAATTTGCCCGCGAAATTTGTATACTATCAACCATAGGTGTATAAAATCGGATATGATAAAAAAACCTTTACGAAAAGTCCTAGTGTGACGTTCTCTCGAAAAATAAATTAGATATGTCATAATTTAAAAATTTTGATCTTATCGAAACTGTAATGGTACGAAATCATTTGAAATTTGTACCATTGAATCATTAATAGAAGACACATTTACTACGCCAATTTCAAGTTAATCATCTACATCGTTTACAAAATTGTAACTGTCAAGAAGTTACTCTCTTATGCATATGAAAATGCGGATGAATATTTAGAAGCTTTTGTTATAGGATTCTAATGAATGAAAAAATATAACCAACTACCTGTGTGACAAATTAACGAGATATTAGATGCATTGTTAGGATGTGCCAGTACAAGATTCAAATGACTCATCTACACCATTAATTAATTTTATTAATAAATAAATGTAGAAATAAAAAATGTTTTGCTTCGTGACTGAACACGTGGTTGCCACGTCTGCCAATCGTTTGTCGCAGATACAATATTAATATGTAACCATTAAAATCACATAAAGAAATTATAACAACGTTTATATTACAAAACATTGTACTACTATCTGTAGATTTACACAAAAGTTTGTTACACCATCGACAAGTTTTGTACTAAAAAATTCGGTATGAACAAAGTTGGCATCCTGCTGAAGAATAATAGAGTTCCCCCTCGTATTCCCCTTTGCGATGAGAGATCCTGAAATTGCTTAAGTAAGTTTTTTAGCAATAAATCCACGTCTCGCTTTATGTCATTTTAAAATCGTCGTAAACATATTGATTGGCGTCGAAAGATATATATTTCTTTTATTGTAATATTTGCACGTGCTGTCATTACGTATGCAGGACCAAAATTATTCTTGGAATCGATTTCCTTATAAATTCGAATCGTGTCGCGTAATTTACTTGGAAAATTGTAGGGGGGCTCCTATATCGAATAACCTAGTTACTTCTCCTATTCTGTCTCGGTCTCCCTTGCTGCTGGGGGTTCGACAACACTTGTGTTTGTAGGGCTTCGTGGAAGCCTTTACAGACCCTCGAAACAGTCTACTCGCAGACACGGTTCAACAAAAGTGCTCCATTGCCAGTTGTAATTATAGAGAACAACCAGTGAAAGCAAAAGTGACCGTTACGAAATGGCTGTAATCCAAGGCACTGGCAATTTCTTCATTTATGAATATAAGATACAAATTACTTTTTCTTTTTTTTTTTCAAAGCGCCATCGGCACGGGCAGATAAATATCTTTATTGTGTAATACATAGTCATTTATTTGAAAATAACGATGGAAATGGTAACTTAAGACAGAGAAATCGAAAGGGGACATTAAATTTATTATTAGGTCATTTTGCGAATACAGTAACGAAGTTGCGTCTGAAAGGAGAGAAATAAGTTCAGAAATTACTAGTGCCAATTGCCAACGCGCGACTGCTTTCCCAACTTTCAGGAGTACTGTTAATTCTCGCATCGCTAAAAATGTTCGTATCTCAAGATACGATCGAATTCGATTCCTTGAATTCAAACAATTGTTCAACCACCACCGATAGTTTCGTGATATTTCATCCAATAAACACAAGTGCCCATGTCGAGCCAGTTTTCGATGACGTAATAGCCGACGAGACGAAAGATAATGTCAACGTGTCGCACTTGAAGACGCTTACATTGCCAAAGGACTGGGACGAGCAAAAACCTAAATTAATATTTCCGAAAACGCCATCGGACGAGCGTTACAAAATGGCTGGTCTCCATTTCGAAAGAGGAATATTCATCTTCCATTTTCTCAGAAGCGTATTGTCCATCGTACAACCATACGACATCCCTTTGGGTAAAATGCAGATATTCAATGTCAAAATGTTAATAATTCAGTCTAATTTCTGTAAAAATTTCAGATTTACTCCGAGACACCATAGACAACCGTGTAACAACCTCAAAATTCATATCTCAGGTCAGTACCAATTTTGTATCACTTATTTCATTTTATATAATTCATTGTCTTGTGCCATATAATATAGTTAATAGAATTTTTCATTGTTGAAATCTATTCTCGTGTGTTCATTTTGTTGACTCATATAAAATAATACAATTGAATTAAGTATGAATATCGTAACACGCCGTAGGCTTCTGTCTGCACACATCAAGATAACTTCATTAGCAATGGAACAGAGCAGTACCTAGTATACTTGTATACCTATATAGTTATTCTCTGATTTTTCAGTTCATACATATAGAAGCAGTTTTCCTAGCCCTGGTGGGTGTATGCTGTTTGTTGGCATGTGTGATTCCTGGCACGGAACTTTGGCTTGCCTGTCGTCCAATCAGAGACGATTACAAGCCCTCGCAGCATCCTAGACTCCTGGCATTTTTCTTGTCAGTCTTCGCCTTCGTATTGGGGTACGTACAGTGAACAAACAAAGAAAAATGAAAAACGACTGGTAAAAGCACTATAAAATTAATTCAATATCACAAGAATCCATTCAATTTTCTTTAACGGTAAAACATTAATTTCAGCCTGTGCATGGTGACCATGACTGTTTGCAACGAGGCCATCGGAGTCGGTATCGAAAAGATTCCACTGGCAGTGGAAACTGCTCTTCAGGATTTCGGTGACTATCATACGGGATCTACTACGCAACTACGAAAATGCCTTACGAGGAGTCTCGATGTGGCTACTGAAGCCATATTGGCAGATCTGGACAGTGAGTCTTTTTTTGTACCTTAGCAAATATTTGACAGTTTCAAAAAAAAATATTGAAGTAAAAGAAAATATTGTTCTGGGGTTTCAACCTATACATTGAACTCGAACCGTAGTAGCATCGATCGATAATCCATTAACAGTATATAATTTTTTTAGTAATATAAAAATTAGTCCTCTTATGTATTACACAGTTCATTTCCTGCCCGAACCATATATTTACTTTTCTCCGTTTTCTTTAACACTGCTTTGACCTATATGATACAAGTCAAGTGGTACAGGCCAGTGTTTCTATGTTAAAATTTGTTTGATAGAGTTACTGCAGGACAGCGATGAAAAAGTGGAAGAGTACTGGTACACTGAAGAATATTGTGTAAGCGAGAACGAATGAGCCCTTTGCCACTATGAAAACAATGAATTATGCTGATACAAAAAGTCGCAGCATATTTCCTAAACAAAAATATAAAAATGCTAATCTAGTGAACAGACAGCGCCTTGAACTTCCGGTCATGTATACTTTAATACTATTTGTACGGGTGGTGGGTCGCTCGCGTGGAGTTTGTTTGCAATTCTATTACAAGAGAGGATGCGTGCCAGGATTGCGAAGCATCTCCCGAGCATTCTTTCCCATAGATTTATGCCTATATACGGGAATGTTTGTTTAGCATGTTCGGTAGTATAACTATAGCTGTATAGCCTCGTCTTTCAGGTTAATAATTTTTGACACTTCCTGCAAATACGAAGAGTCCACGAAAAAAGCCCTTTTGGATTCTTTCCAGGATTGAAGACTAACGGACAGATTTTAGCCGGAACCTTGCGTAGCCCGGAAAGTTGGCTCAGTAAAGGGTAGTGGATAGAATGTATAACGTGTATACTTACGAAGCAGGTTGGATTTCCAAAAAATATTTTAAAAAAGCAACCCTTTATCTCCCGTACAAGAAGACTCGCTTTCGTTCACTTGACCTCGCTACCATTACGCACCGAGTGAATATTACGTAGCTATTGTATAATATACATATTTGTCACCCTCATACTCTGAGAAGCATATCCACACCACAGGTATACATACGACGAAGCTTTAGTGGACGACCTAATGCACGTCATCCGTGACTCCGTATCCATTGACTAAACAGACCCTAAGCGTTTACGAGCGGCCATATTACTATACCCATCACGGAAGTTCATACGAACCAAAGACACATAGCTGACTAATGAATACTATCAGGGTCTAGCATGCAGGCATAATGTACCACAGTACGGATGTTAATAACCGGTGTGTATTAGGATTGGTACCAGGATGCGAGATGGATACAGGTTGGGTTAGAGGTTAGGTTAGTGCTGAACTATTTGTACGTATAAGAGCCCCAGGCGTCTCTGTGGAACAACGCGCCAATATTTGATTTACCGCCACTTTGTTTCCAAATTTTGTATATAACCAATAGCTATATAGCTATAGATAATTTCAGATAACTCGAAATGCACGTTGCTTTTAAAAAATTCTTATAGGAGTTTCGAAAGCGATCGTCTGATATACCAAAGTTCAAATTCCATATTGACACGTAGTAAGGCTTATACGACGTCCTGGCAAATTCTAATGGCAAACCACTGCTTCGATAAATGGTTAATTAATTGGCTTGGCGAATTGATCCAGTCAGAAGCAAATTGCTCAGGCACGAGAATCGAACGAGAATAGAGGCTCACTCTGTAGAGCCTCATTACGTGTAGGTAACTGTGCTTAAATTATACGCTCGCTGTGCATCGCTACTGGTTGAAATCCCTATCAGATTCTGATAACTAGGGACGCTAGTGGCTGAATAAATGATTGCAAATTCGAATCGACGTAATGAGATTTACAATGTCTAGTTTCAGGCTGATTTTGGATATATCACTAACGCGTATTCAAATCATTATGAGTGCGAGGAGATACGGTGTTCTTAGGTCGTATAGGATCTTATTGTATTTATCTGTATAAATTGACTTCTTGTCTATGAAGATTTAAAGTTTTCTCTCTTTTCTTTTCAGATGTCGAAGAACTACTTGGTAAACCTGTTCAGGTAGAGCTCTCTACCGAAACGGGACTTGATGTTGCTTTGGATGCACTTTTAGATGTTGCCAATGGTAAGATAGCATCTATATTTATTCGCGGTACTCTATGAAATGCATATATAATGTAATCTCCATTGATAACGACTCGAGAGTCAAACAGCACCGAAAGCGGGACCATGAACCTGTTCATCTAATTCAATGAGATGGCATTCGAATAGAAATTTACATGTTCGAGGCAACTCGGCTCACATGCGCAACGCGGGAAATATGAATTTATTGAAACGCATTATTAGCATTCAAACGGTAGGTACCTATCTATTCTCATATCAATTTTACCCGTTCAATTTAGCATAGCCAGTGTTCTAACTTGTTCGATCGATCTGACATGACTAACGGAGTGTCTTCATGATTTATTAGTGTGTCAAATGGATTTGAAACTTCTTGAAAAACGATCACTGCAATTTCGTTGCACTTTTAATGGATATAATCAGCACTTTTCGTTATCGACTTTCAATAACATTCCCATACTGAGGACATAGAGTATATTAATCAAGATTCCATCTATGCATGGCATTAAATCATTTTTCAATTCTTTCTTCCTGTATCTGAAGTAGATTTAGTAAATTGTACATACAATCCATATGTACTAAAGTTACGTACCGAAAGCTGTAGTAAGCCTAAGTAAGTAAAGCCTTTCCTTCGTCTTTTCAACTATTAACGACCAGTGTAACGCCCTTATATCGAATCAATAGCGAACATAGGAATTTCAGTTTAAAATTAGCCCAATTAGGAGTACCGTAAGTACTAGTGAGGTTACTTTGTCGTACTGCTATTTCCTCGGAAGTAAATTCACTAAAGTAACCAATTGAAAAATACTTGAAACCGGAAGAAACCGACGTAGATTTCCGTCTGCTGGTTGGTAAGTATTACTTCTTAGATTTCACTGGCGTTTCGTTCCGACTAGCTAGACGACTAAGAGTATAAAAATATTTTGCCCTCCGAGGTCTCAAGCAATGAAAGGACTGTCTGAGGTAGGAAAAGCGACGCTGACGTCCTTGACAGTAAAGCTTCGAGATTTAGCACTTGGAAAAGTTCATCTCCACCGTAAAAACGGCTCATGTCTAAATAGAGAAGTGTAAGTTAATTGCGGGTAAAAGTCACTCGGCAGTTCTAGGGTTGGTAAGTTCAGTATACTTAGTCGTATAAATCGAGTAGGTCTTGTGAACTCTCCTGTTAAGTGACCCCCGTCGCAGTATCACTTAGTCACAGGACAGAGTTACTAACTGAATATTAACTGAATTAGTACACAGCAACCTGATAGCAGCTCTATCTTGTGTCCGGACAACCCTCTACGCTCGACTGTCCCTTCGCTTCAGTTCTTGCTTCACTGATGGAGTCTGTTTAAAGCTTATTTCCTTAATAGCTGAATCGATCAGTGCAATAGTCTGTCATTTGTAGTTTAGATAGCGGCTGATGGAAACGCATGATAAATGGAGCGAAGTGGTACGTTAGCAATAGAGAATGGAGACTCGTGTCGATATTCGCCAGATAGCACGTCGGTAGACGAAGTTGTTGGAAACTTTCGCCAACGTTACCTACTCGGAGTTGACAAGATGTAAGGAAGTGGCGACGGGCTTGGTAAATGGCACACGAACAACTCCTGGAGTCGTACTCTGAGAAGGGAGGAATGCTCAACACTAAGAAATCTGTTCTCGCAAACTGGCCGAGAAACTTCTTAGAAAAGTTTAATCATGCTGGGAATAAGCGTGTTCGTAATAGATATGGTCGGGTGGTTCCGTCGGCTTTATTTTCAGAGGCCATCTAGTAATGGCTTGCAGTATAAAAGAGTCACCTCGATCTGGAACTGATATTACAGCTTTGCTGTAGCACATATTTTCCTTTTACAATAAATTTTGGCCTATCTGCTTAAACAGTAAGTGCGACCTAATATTCCGTTCAAACTGTACACAACCTCAATAGGTATCTACCTAGTAGCGCTTAACTTTTCACCGGCAATTGAGACAAGTTGAACACTGTAATTTTATGCAGTTCAAAGTTGTTTCATTTTATGCTAATTGTCAGACAGATAATTAATTCTTGAAAATTCTTATTATTCATAATTATAAGTACTAAAAGCCAGCAACTTATATTTGATCCACGTGAAAAAAAAAATTTGAGATCTAGGGGACTCTTTCACATTGAAATTCATAGACAAAATTGAACTTTTGAAATATATTTAACGTAGGAGTGGATCATAATTTGTCATAGAGATTTGTGATGTGTCTATTTATAGATTAAAAGTTAGCGCGAAGGCCAATCAGTCTTTTACTGAAAATTGAGTCGCATGTTTTGTAGGGACCCAGGAACTCTCATTGAGGGCTGAAGCCCTGCTAAAGGAGGGCGAACGAGCTCGCGAATTAGGGGAGGAATTGAGTCGTGAGGCGAATGAGCTACGTCGCCAGCTGGAAGCGGCTGCGAGGAATTGTCCAGCCCCGGATCGTCCCCTCTGCGCCATTCTCAACCCATCAGGACTTCACCTGGCCCTCCAGTTAGACCGGGTGAATAAGCCGGAGACAATTATTTAACCCCTTTTAATCCCTTATTAAGATCAAGAGGTCCATTCACACTATTTTCCATCTTTTAGATTTACACTATCTATTTTCATGTACGAACCTCAAACGAGAAGGATCTTACAAAAAAAAAAAAAAAAAACAGGAAACGACACTTGTTTTCCGTTAGGCAACGAACGAATGTCGCTCACCGGATTTCCGGTTGCGTTTCCGACTACAGACCGAAGGGACTGCGACCAACGTTTCCGACGGGAAGGAACGCAAATCGCAAAAGTCAATTTCCTGAGTTTGCCTATAGGCTTTTTCTTTTTTCCTAATATTTTAATATCTCTTTTATTTTGGCCAGTTTTTTTCTTTCGACGTACCAGACCGAGTTTTAAATAGTTACGGGTACTTGGTCGGTTTTCCTTCGTTTTATTTGATCGAATCTAACGGTCATATAAAAGTTCAGGTCGCGTAAGGAAGAAATAGGGTGTCTAGATAGACGAACTGAAGTGGACAAAAAAGACAAAAGTTTATTATACCCGCGATTCGATAGAATGAGAGAGAATGAAATTAGACGAAGAGCAGCGATAACTTTTCAAGGACTCTTTCATGTAGTCCTTTCTCTTACTGCACCCTCGTCTTCGAGCAAGTACCATTTCTCCCTAATTCATCCTCTCTATCACAGACTGAAACTTACAGGTTTGACCTCCTTCTCTCCTAATTGGTCCCAGGAAATAAATCACGACACCCGTAAAGTTCTTGGAGTCTTTTTTACCTTGCGCATCCTTCCCGATGAGTTCATTCCGCTTCGAAGACCAACCAAAGAATGCGCGGAGTTCACGACCCGATTAACCTCACGATTCCATCTGTGATCGATGAAAAATATTCGACTTGAAAAATGGCAAGAATGGAACCCGTAAGTCGGCTCAACAATTTATAGAATTTTCAAAATCTTCTTGGAAAGTCGGATTGAATGAATAATCACATTCGTGTACCAGGCACTCGGTATAGCTCGTACCAAATTTTGCACAGAATTTCAAACAACACTGGGCTCAACGACGACATAAATTGGACGCTCAAATATTTACTTAGGCGGGGATCAGGGTCTGAACATTACGTACTAAGCAGGGACAGGCAGCCGAATGAGAAGGAAATTCAGAGGACGTACATAGCGTAGTGGGGAAGACGGAATATAAAATCTGTAGTGGATTAATATAGATCTAGATAGGTGTGAATGGTCAAGATAAATGAAATGCACTGATTGCCTGGCTCTTCTATTCTGCTTACCCTTTATATTCCATTGAAATCCATTCAATTTGCCACGTGTTATGAAACCTTCGATCTATCGTGAAAATTCAAAAAGGATTCTGTGCACGAACAGCGCCATCTTTGAATATGCTCATTGGCCGCCGTCGTCCCAGTGAATAAATTGAATCTTGAAAAGCTATAAAAGTCCTACAAGACTCCTGTGAAAGAAGATTCAGCCCTTTACTTAGCTGAATACATTTTGTTCAGGATATTAATACTTTTCTTAAACAATTCGATTCAGATTATCATCTGTAATTTCACACGACTCTCACGTTAGGACTGTTACGAAACAAATAATTGATGAACGTTGAAGTCTTCTTCATTTAAAATTATTCGAGATTACTCTTATAAAGTTCGTTCATAGGTATTGCAGATATTTGGATGGTGGAAAAAAAAATGTTTCATTTTTTGTTAAACACATATAGTGGATCGACGGTACAATCTTAAATAGGAATAAAAGGTCAAAAAATTCTACGTAAAAAATTACATGGAATGAGAAATTTTTTAGTTGGGTTTCTCTTTATGTTTCAATTTTTCATTGGACAAATGTGAATTTAAATGAAATTAATGAGTTTGGAGGAAAAGTGGTCTTAAATTCATTCAATTTATTTATTTTCACCAATTTAGCAGAATAGAAGTCCCTTATAATCCTTATATAATACCCCGATACCCCGATAATATTAGTAATACTTTTCATCTACTTACGCACTTTATATTGAAACCTTAGAATTATTACAATTTCTAAATTTCATTATACAAAGTGCTCTTCGAAATCAAACTGGAGTGATCGCGTGAGTTATATTTTTAATAAGATTTCAAACAAAAATCTTTCAAAACTTTCATGTTGTTGTCGAAGGTATATCTGCTCGGATTAAAAATTTTACACAAATTTACTGTGAAAATGTAAATTCTATATAAATAATATTTCCAAATAAAAGTTTAATCCATAAATGAGTTCATTAAAACTTTTTAAAGGGAACTCATTTGTATAGAATCTACATTTTCATAATGTAAAACTTTAAATATGATCAGAAATAATCAGATAGAAACAAACGTTGGATTTTATTATACATATACAATTTGTTTTGCTGCACGAAGAAGTTATTTTCGTTCATGGAAGTATATAGATATATCCATACCTTTGAAGTCATTGCTACCTAACTTGCTATTGGATATATACAGCGCGTCTCAAAAGTCATGCACTTCCAGAGTATGGCCGTGTTCAGCGAGCATCAAAGATCACGAAAATAATCTTGTTCTTGTCGGAAAGTTATTCGTTTTCAAATGAGAGAAGCTCAGAGTTTACCAATTAGAAGGAGACACCAACGGAAATAGTACGCACCTAAAACTTCGAGTCTCCGTCACTTGATGTTATTTTTTGACGACATCGACCAGGCTGCACATGCTATAGACAGATCACGCGAATATCAATTGCTCCATGGTCCGAGCGCATTTGTTGAAAAATCACCGATATTGGCGGAACAACTTAGCTTCGCGAAGCAGCTTTACACAGAACCCGCGATTTGCATTTGTTCTGAACGACGCGTTTAGGCGGATGAAAACTCGTACGTAGATACATACTGCCGTAACCCGTACTGCCTAAAACGTATTGGAATGTTATTTTAATTATAGAGAAACAGGTTGTTATAGATCGAGAGAGAAAGAGAGAGGAATGATATTAAATAAAATAAGTAAATTGATTAAAATGGAAATGGGACAAGATGCAAAGCATAGGAGTATCTTTTTATTATTAATTATCTTTATTAAAATGTTTAAACGCTAAAAACAAACTGGGAAAGAAAAGCTCTAACATAAAGCTAAAGATCTCGTTAAATTTTCAGCTCCTTAGGGATGATCGTCTACTTCGGCTGCGCGGAACTGGACGAGAAAATCTCACTGAAGCTGGTCGACAAGCTCGTGGAGAATATCTCTACGTACCTCACCACGTCGCCAGAGCGACATTGGACGCTCGCAATCGTAAGCCATCTCCATGAGAAATTAAACAATAAAGATATATCCATATCTGAAAGAGCTTTAGAATTTAAGGTTCTAGAATGATCGTCACAGATTTTGCATTTCGGTGACTTTTGAACCACACGATACTTTGAATTTTCCTTAACTTCCATAAATCAGACAGTTGAGTGAGATTAATAGGCAATGTATTTCGCGGAAGCACACGTTTGTGGCTGGTAGCAGTTGGGTTGAGAGGAATAGGGTGAGAAACCTGCCCTCTTGCAGAACATTCAAATTCGATGTCCAAGGAGTGGAAACCTTGAGAATATATATTTCCGAGGGAAGATTTGTTACGCCGGCATCACGTCCCGACACATATCAAGTCAATACGAAATGGGTTACAATCAAGTACAGTTGATAACTTTGATCGATAACTGAAGCGAGCGAATCAAACATAACATCGGCTAATTTTTAAATAGTTCAACGAGACACACTAAAACTGAAAGCACGGGATATTTTTTTAACTAAAATGCAATGGCCAAAAAAAATGAGCAAACCTTAAATTTATACCTTACTTAATGTATGCAATCATCTAAAAAAAGTCTATATACTTTTATATCTGCTCAGTAAAGAAAGATAAATTTTAACTTTTTTAGGACGAATTTTTACTTGACTTGGATGTAACGTGTACATCGTTAAGTTTACTTCTGTCATTAATTAAAAATGTCCTATAATATCGATAAACGATGAGGGAATGCCAAGCTGTACGACGGGCACTGTTTTCCACGTTAACTTTTATCGTAAACTTTCTACAAGAAATTAATGAAAAGTTCTCTCCGTATATGCATCAGTGTTCAATTATACCATAAGCAAAGAATGAAGAAGAGGACAAAGACAAGACAAGATGATACATGGAAGATAAGAAAAATGTTGAGCTCGTTATCTCTTTCTAAAATAGGTCAGCGGGTACGAACGTTAAGATTCACAGAGTCTTGCCAAGCCAAGAGCGAACCTAGTAGTTTTAGAGCTTCAGAGTTCAATGAGTCGATATTAATTTTCTGACAATTGCGAGCATTCCGTTTCTCAGCCATTTTGTGACTCGACCCTCGCAATCCCAGCTTCCCTGGCATAATAGTAATAGTCTTCATCATTTTTTGCTCGTCTGCCGGCCATGTTGCGCTTCGTGGAGTTTTGTTTCTTGTTAGCTCTCACAAGATGGTCCTTGACGCGCATCGTAAGAGAACGGAATGAGTTACTAGCAGCTTCGCTGGGGAGATGGATAATCTGTACAGCATAATAAGGGTAGTGCAAGAAAATTTAGAAAAAAAAATTGCCGCGCCATTTATGCACGATTAAAATGTGCCTGTTGATGATAAACGAGTAGCTGCTAGACGAGGACTTTTTCTTGTCCGTAATGTTGAGACGTGGAACGTCTCATCATCCCTTCTATATGGAAAAATATTTAGAGATGTGCTCTGCTCATGTCAGAATCGCTCAAATGTCCATCCTGACTCTGGACCTCGTTGTGATTGATGCGATGGATGTCCCATGTTGACAAGGTGTCCTGTCGCGTTCTGTATTCCCCTCTACTTTTCTGAACGAACCCCATACAGCCCACCCGCAGTCAGTGAGTCGTCTAGGAAGGGTGGTACCACCACGAGCATCACGGCTAATGTGAAATCCATATCGTGTTTTACTATTTGAGGAGAAAAAAAAATCACATTGACAAATCGACGTGAAGCTTTTGCCCGACAAGCCAAAGTGTATGATAAGTACCTACGTGAGAGTCGAGTCTCTTTTTTTATGAAACTCTTCTCCACGGTGATTCTGTACGAATCCTCACGTGGTCTCGAAACTTTTCAATGGATATCCAAATGCTTCAGCAGGCCGGTGAAGTATTTTTTTCTTTTTCCTAGAAATTCGTCAGGAGATCAACGCTGTGCGTGCCAAAATAATCGATGAAGCTAAGCATATGGAATCCAGCAATACTGAACTGGCAAAGCAGCTTAAATCAGCCCGAAAGATAGCAAATTACGTGATACCTTATATCAATATATTTGAAGAACACAGATGGTTCGTCGGATTAGGTATGTCCAATTAGATGTACATAATTATATGTGTACAACTTGCGGGTATTAATAATTTAAAATTTGGTTATGGAACCTGTATAGTATGCAAGTACACACGAATCGTACATATGCATAATCAAGTAGCCTCTAGAGAAAAGCCTAACGGCGTAAACTGGCGTATGTACCTTTTAGGATAAAGTTCAAAACCGAATAAAAGTTCGGGGCTCAAATTGCATTCAAAGTTCGGTCCAATTTAGTGGCATAGCCCGGGGTCTACGGGTGACAAAGGGAAGCCGTGGGTAATAGGATACAAACGCCTAACCTCTCGTATACTATATATGTATAATTGTATAGCTTATCTACACGTGGAAGGATCGATGAGGGCAAGGCAAGAACGCAAAATTCTTTCTTTTTCATTTTCTCAGGTACCATCCTCTGTGTCTTCTTTGTCTGGTCTCTCCTGGTTGGGGCATTGTGCTGCCGCTGCGGAACACCCGAGGGAAAAGTTCGGGCGACACTATTGTGGTAAGGTGATCGATCAAGCACGAGCCATTCCATGAATCAACAATGCTTCGTTTTAGCGGAGTGCTAACGAGCTGTGTCGTTTCCATCGTCGTGTGGGTGGTCTTCCTCACAGGCCTCGCCGTATCCAGCCAGACAGAGATGCTGGTCTGTCGACCGCTTCACGATCCAGAATTTCGTGCATTAGAGGCCATCCTGGAAACTGAAGCCTTTCTTGGAAAGCCACTAAGTATCCCTTTGAAGGATCTATTCAAGTAAGTAGTGCTAAATTAGCAAGCCTACTTGCCAATAATCCTCTTTCATGTGACTGAAACGCTCATTGGAGAGGCATAGTAATTAGGAAGTAAATGCTTACAAATATGTATATCATCACAAGCCTGGTACGTGCCAGTCACAGCTACTTATCTTATCATGAGTTTAGTTAAGCTACAGGGATAAGACGAAAAGTTTGTATCAATGATAAAAATTTCCCGAACTGTAGTAAGTGTCAGCAGAATGAAGCAGCTTATCCGGCGTTCCAATTGGGAAGTTCTTTGAAGTTGGAACAGCTGACGGCTCATTGGACATGGTCAGGATTGTCCAAAGCTCTTCAAAGAGTTAGGGTAGACCTCAAGGGACTGCGAATTCTCACGCCCAACTTGCAGCAGCGTTTGCAGAGTCTCCTTTACGCCTGCGGACCAAATCTTACCGAGCATAGAATTATGGTATGATATGGGAACATTAATGAAAATGTAGAGAATGCTTATTTCAGATACTTAAAAATATCTTGGTGGCTTTTTCCGCGTTACTTCAATAGAGGATATCGTCTTATCCGTCTTATCCGTCTTATCGTCGATATCCTCATTCTTATCGTCTTATCGCACGTAAGGAAGCGTCGTGTCATTAGCGATAAGGGTCTGTCACCCTTAGTAACCGAATGACAATCTCATTTTCTCTCGTCCACCTTCCATCGTCGACCCACTCTGTGACTTCAATAACATTTCCGCTATTGGCACAAGTCGAAAGAAACGTAGAGGAAAGGAAAAAGAGTAAAGAAGGAAAGGAAACCTCGAAGAGTACTGGACGGATCTATAGGGTCCACAGGATCTATAGGATGTATAACTCCTGATCCACATCGGTTTTACCAGGAATTTAAGGATTAGGAGAGACACTTCTCGACAAAGGGATTAAGGTCTGTCGTAACCTTGCGATGTCCACAGATTCAAGGACCAATTCTGAACAGGGACCTAAGTGCTCTGTCCGACCAGGTGGTAAACGTAGCACGGCAGCTGAAGGATCAAAGAACTGCGAGAGACTTGGAGATTATCGCCTCTTCCATGAGAAATCTTCTGCTGCGGCAAGTTAAGCCGTTAATGAAAATGCAGGATGAGCTTGTTTATCAACTCGCTGGCTTGGAATTGCAATTGCTGCCTCTGCAGAGACAAGTCAATCAGTCGATCTCGCATCTCAAAACGATTCAGTACTACATTGATAATCGAGGTGAAATCATTGCTCAGTTGGTACGTCCAATTACCTCCTATATTCTATTGATTTCTATGCGAAATTTGTTTAACACTTTATAATGAAAAGTTCGTTTTTGATTCATAGAATACAAAATTATATATAGAGAGGTTAAGCACTTATCTAGACCAATGGCGCAGTCACGTACTCGCAGAAATGGGATCCGGAGTAGCGAGATGTCGACCTCTATGGGACATTCTTCACGGCCTGAGGTTGCTACTCTGTCAGCACGTGTTAGGCCCTATGGTACGTATTAAGTTATTTACAGTGACATGCGATGTTTATTTTTGAGAGAAAGAAAAAAAGATATAAACAGTGTGTTGAAACCACGTTCGCCTTACCATATTCTCATGGGAATATACATTTTAGAATGGGTTTTGGTTCGCCACACTTTTGTGCGCCATCGTCATGATACTCAGTACCCCTACGGCTCATTGCTTGGCTCTGGTGTACAGAAAACAGTTTCCCGACAAGGAAACTGCCCTCCTACCCTCAAGAACGTTAGTACCTTTTATTCCCATAGTACACTATAATTGCATAGTCCTCGCTTCGTGCAATGTTGCAATTTTATTTTCGATATTTCTAGCGAGAGCCCCGACACCGTTGTTATAGATCGGGAAACTTGGCGCACCCCGGAGTAAGTATATAACCTATCTCGTTATTTAAAATATTCTAGTGCATGTCGTAATCGCGCGGAAACATCCACTTTCAGTCCACCACCACCTCAGGATGGCTGGTGATGCAAGAGAAACGAGGGCCAAAGTAATGGCATACAAAAGTAACAGACCTTTTCGAATAAATAAAAGACTGCTAAGGCGATGAAAGTGTTTTTTATCCCACAGAATAGTGAACCAGTTTGGACGTCTTGAGTTTCGTCTCATCCTTCTAGCACATTTCGCGCAACCTTTCAACGTCTTTAGTCTAATTCACAACATGGAGACGAATGCAGCTGCACTAGCTTCCCCCATAGTATTATTGGCAATGCAACGATACGTCCCGACGAGACGCTTTTCCATACGAACCAACTGCATCCAGGATGTTTTCATCAAGGGTTCCGGACCATCGTTTGTGCTCACAACGCCTTCGTGTTCCTTACCTGCATAAAGTGAAAGTAAAATATACGAGATTACTATCTATATTTTTTTCTCTTATTTGGAATGCAACGGACTATTCAAATGGCGCACTTGGTAATTTTAATACCATGTCCCCGAGGGTTGAATCAAATTCCCAAGAAATGTCTGGTACGGGGAATCCTTTGACTTCACAGTTTAACGCCACTCTTTGTCCGGTAGTCGAGACAACGTCTCTGGGTCCAGTTAGTATCCAAGGCCGAGTTGGACATGGTCCCAAATGCTGAAGCTTGAGGGATGAATTCTTGAGCCTCATAGCATGTTCGTGAAGGGCGCAGGGAGTTGGATAAGTCTCATTGTTACTCCCGCAGGCCGGACTCTGCTCCATGCAGACGCAAACTGCTTCTGCTTCATCCTACACATCTTTTTTAGTTAGTTGAGAATCGACTTGCACACGGCAGTAACTTCTATATAGATAAAGTCGGTCTGATTGTTTGATTGCATGCCGGTTACTGTCCAACCCACACCGTGAGAAACGAAGTGACGAGATCACGGGTCAGCGACACCATCCGTCTCAACGATTCGTTACAACTTATTGCACGAGTGTGGGAGTTCATTATTGCGGTAAATAAATGAAGCAATTTTGTAGTCTGCCAAATTGAACTGCCAAAACAGTGCTGATACCTAAGATTTATATTTATCAAGCTTAAAGAACCAGCAGAATTTTCACAGAATTTTCGATGAGATCATTCTGTGTAAGGTATCAGACAAAAAATATTAAGTAAAACAATGTTGCTGACATTTAAAATATTTAAAAAGATGTACTACTGTAAATACCTTTGATACTATAAGCTACACCAAGCAATCAGATTAATCCTTCTCAAAAGTTTGACTGATTACCATACCTCTTCGTGAAGATCAGAACGTAATTGGCAGAGATAATTTCTCGCACAGAATCCTTCGTTACGACTCTTGGGAAGCAATTCGGGAATACTGGCATTCCAGCAGCTATCCCCATCGAGCCTGGCGCATATACCAGCAGCACAACATTCACAAGAATCAGGAACAGAACCAAGAAGGCATTTACTAGGGTCGTCGGGGCATCTGAAGTTATGTCAAAGAAATTTAAAAAATGATAATTCGTTTTGTTTTACTTTAATAGTACTTTTGCCCACCTGTAATCTGCACACTCATTACAACCCTCGATCTGCACTTTCGTGGTTACGTTCTGTACGACATTTTCTTCCACAAGACATTTCACTTGCTGTCTGTTAGTAATGCTCAATAATAGTATCAGGAACACTCCCCTACGAGTCATTTCACCGACTGAGAATAGCCAAGCGCGACACGTCCAACCCACGAAGATGGACAAGGGAAGCAGGGAGAGGGTATGAGATTACTCTCCCGTATTACGCGACTCTACGGGTCTACAATACAACGAAGAGGAAGGAGTGTCAGACGTAGATAATTCATGCTAGTTAATTTGTGATGCGTCTTTACAAAGAGATCAGGAAAAAACTGATCATTCGAGAAAGTTTGCGAGAACGAACGCAGTTGCTGTACTTTTTGGTGACTAATTTACAGTTATTTATAAGACTGATAGTCGATCCACGAATTCAATGTGTTTTTTTGACAATTCGCAAGTACTGCAATCCTTAACAAAAAACATGCTAAAGTATAAAAATAAAATATATTCAGTGCAAAATCATATGTATACATGTTTTGTAACAAATATTACATAAAGTGGCATGTGTGCCTTACTAAACATTATTTTTTTTTGTTCTGTCAAAAAATATATCGAACTCGTGGGTGGACTATCTGCAGAACATAAGTGCGATAATAAATATCGTGAAAGTTATATTTTCTGTTTGTTATATTTTGCGATTACACCGTGTAAGAAGACTTTTTTGTGATACATTTTTTTTACTTCAATTATCTTTATTTACTTGCTTCGTGAATGTTTTCGTGTAATATAACCTATCGGCTCATCCTGTTCACATTCCTCTGTAGGTGCACCAAGTTAGGCAGAGAGTGTTTTACATTGGCATGTAACGTTTAGTAACATTCGTTATTGAGGTATTTGGAATGTGTACGGGATAGTAAATTTTGAGTGCATTTTAGTAAGAGTTTAAATTCTGTATAATAACTTTGACCACAATTTTTTATATATTTATTCCACTTTGCTGCGATTTACAAAAGTATTAAATATTAAACATAAAAGTACATTCATTATGACATCATGAACGCAACCGCTCATTGAATTTATATTTAACTTTTATGCATGATGAAAGATCATGTATTTCCTATATTTATCTTCACTTTGCTGTTACCCGGACTCTGTACACTTCTCTTGATACGCTCTTCTATTTGTTTCTTATCTGTATTTAAGTCTGTGGATAAGAGTGACTCGCACTTCAAAACTGTATTTGATCTACTTTCGTTAATTTTGTTTATAACCGTGTGTCTATTTTTATCACGTGAAGTACTCTGAGTGGTGCAATTTGTTGCACAGCAAAATTCACAATTCGAGGCGCAGGACATTTTATTAAAGCCACATACACATTGTTGAGGATGTGCTTGACCTTTGGACAAGCACTTGTTGTCAGTTGGTTGATCATGTAAACGAATATTACCAGAAGTGCAATTTAATGCACAACAGTGATTGCAGTCAGCTGCACAGGAATTTTCGTCAGGTCCACATCTACACTGTATTTTTGGAAAATTATCTCTTATTGTATCCTTATTGGAAGTTTCACATGAATGTGCAGCCAAGGACGATACAGGTTTCAATTGAAAATCTTGATTCTGTGAATTCCAAGGTATATCGAATTTAGGACTTGCTGCAGCGCATTTCGAAGCGCAGCAGAAGGTACAATCAGGTGCGCAGGACATGCCGTCATATCCGCATATGCACTGCCCATGAGATTTTGCAAATTCTTCACGATCGATTGGAATAAGATGGGAATGGTCGTCAATGGTTTTGGAATTTTGTTGATATTCCACGAATTTTACAAAAGATTCTGCATCTGGTTTTTTCACCAATTTGTTCAATCGTTGATCTACGGCACGAGTCGGTATGCATATTTTGGTTGTTTTGTTAAAACAACTAAGATGATCAATTTTTCGAGGATTTGCAAAAAACTTGCCATGTAAATTACTGTCAGACATATTCTTATGCTTTGACAAAATTGAATATTTCCGAACAGGGAGTGTGATATGCTTTTGGATGCGTGTGGATGAATTAGCAGAAGCTGGTGCGGATGAACTACGTGGAGCCCTGAGAAATGGAGGGAGCCACGGCCAAGAAAGTACCGAAAAACATATTGGGCATTGAAAGTTACTTGGTTTCTTAGGCAAACGATAGAAATTGCAATTATTCTGAAACGTGGAAGAGCTTCCGGCATTGTGATTGTAAGACTGTAGATGCGATGCTGGGATTCTACAAAAAACAATGAAATGTAACTTAATGAATTAAAAGTCTTATAGAGTAGATAAACCAATCACTTTCTTTGGGAAAAGGATAAATCACTTACCTTTTCTTGTTTATTTTTGTAGAATCCTTAAAGCCGATATCATCCGCTTGAATTTCTGCAAGAATACAAACAATACAAAATATACATAAAGAAACGGATACAACATGTTCTAAGATTTATTACACAGCCCCCAAGTGTCTTTGGAATATCTAGTCAGCACAGCTAATAACGACTTGGTAGAACCATTGAACTACAAATAATTATACAATTTTTGATATGTTCGTAAAAATCATTTAATCATCGACCTGAAAATCTCGAACATACTTTCTTGACATTGAAATATCGGTGGTAGAGGGCGAGGCCGGAAGCCCAGGTAACGGCAACGAGGATCAGCAGGATGAAGGAAATGAGGGTGAGTGGACCAGGCACGAAAATCGAGCGGCCAATGTTTCCAACGTAAGAGATTAAATTGCAGCCACCCCTTTTGCATTTCCAGTTGCAGTTGCAGACGCAGGTGCAAGTGCATATTGGTTCCACGTCGCCGCCACCTACTGGAGGCACCACACCGTCATACACCTTTAGTCACAAGGGCACATACAACCATCAGTTTTTATCTTACAAGGAAATTCTTATTATAGGATTTTACGCTATCATTTAACAACCTACGAAATTTTCGGATATTAGTTTCATTTTTTTCCCGTATCTACTGGATTTATCCGCTATTGCTTGTCGCAAGAATTTCTTATGCTAATAATTTTTGTTTCGATTTTGTCCGCGACTCTAATCATAATTTAATTTTTGGAATAATTTTTGTGGCCCATGGACCACCATTTGCGAATCGTTGCCGATCGCGAACTACAAGTTCGCTTCCTGATTTTCGTTTTTTTCGAATAGGGGAAGGAACTTTATCGATCGTTCTTTGATTAGCCTCTGCAGCATCCCGTCGCAATGCTACAGGGGTGGCTGATTTAGGGGATGGCCGGGGAGAGACAGGACCAATTTGTGCTACCGATGGTGTAGTTTTCATAATTGAACCTTTTACAGGAACTGTCAATAAATCGACATGACCAGGTGAACCATCGATTCTAGAGGCTTCTTCATTATCGACGATGATAGAAGATACCACGGGTAGAGTCTGTAAGTCATTTTCTAATTGCATATGTATAGATTCATCGGTTGGTTCGGACGTAACGATTTTAGAAGATTTCTGATTAAGTAATATAGTGTTATCAGATAAAATTTCATTGTAATTAACGTCAATGATTATAGATTCCGTACTACTTGGACTTAGAAGCATGGACTTGGGTATCGAAGCATCAGTGCAATTCAAAGAGCAACAATAATCGCATTCGGTAGCACAGCCTCTCCCACCAGGCCCACAATCACATTGAAAAGCCCTATCAATCTCTCCATCATCTCCATCTCCTTCGTGATCGCTAGAACCGCAGTTACATGGAGACTGACCTGATCCTCTGCATGGTGTGGAACACGTGCTGGAACCACCAGGTGACGACGACCTGGCAAGAGATCTTGTGGGCGATGAAGTCGAACATCGATAAAGTGTTGGAGTGCGACACCGTGGACCCATTTTTCTACAGGATGCGCATGGCGGTATCAGACGACATGGTACTGGAGGTGGAGTACTAGGTCGACAAGGTGATCTTGGTGGACAGGGAGATTCGGATCGACATGGTTTCACTCTTGGAAGTGCAGTGCGACATTTGGTAGACGTGCAGGGATCACAGGGTGGAGGTAAACAAGGTTGACACTGAGTGCAACAACACTTGGGACCTGGTGGGAGTCTTGGCATGGGACAGCATAACTTAGCGTTTGGACACCGGACCTTTGTTCTCGGGAATCTTCGTTCACTAGGTGGACACGCGCACTCTGGTGCGGATGGACAATCGCAGGAACATTCCCGATCACTGCGGGCATCGACTTGAATCGGAGGTGGACAATTGCAATTCCTCGGCATCGGTTGACACATGCAGGAACCACCTATGCACTGACAGCAACTTCGTTTCTTCAGAATTGGACGAGGCGATGGGGCACAGGGTTTACAACTGCTCGGAATCTGACAGGGTATCGGACAAGGATCTACCACTGGGCAGCGTGTAGCTGGTGGACATGGTGGAGGACATGCAGCAAAATTCGGTGGGCACTTTCCTGTTTGACTACTGCAACCAGGAGGTGGACATCCTTCGTATGATCGTAGAGGGCTGAACTCTTCTAAATTCGGTGAACCGCAGGATGTAATACTTGGTGAACCGCAAGCTCCACCTGCTAGGCGACCATCGCAGCATTCCTGACGGTTTCCAAAAATAGTCGAGTTTTTTCAAAAAATTCTCTCTGGTCTCGAAGATCGTACCTGACAATCGTTTGGTGGCAGTGTGGACGGGGCACAAGATTTTGGTGGTGCTGGCGCACATGGATGGCATGGAGCAGCAATCTTACTAGAATATTCATAACGGTGAAAAATTCCTTAGAAAAGTTACATTATTTTAAAAAATTTTCTCAACTTTTTTCGTTAATAAGATTTCTTACCATGACCGACAGTTGCAGCATTTACAATTCTCTTGGCGGCCATGATCACTCCATTGCCGACGTAATTCACAGAAATTTGAAAGCCATTCGCAATTGGGCTTTGGTGGAATGTTCCGGTTCCAAGCTTCTTCCTCCGCGCATTGACATGGTCCTGGACAAGCTCCGGTGGCGGCGGTGCCGCTGGGACGAAATCCACCACAATCAGCACGATCCAGACAACCCACGTTGCTTTGACACAAGCATGATCGGATGCGAGGTTCTGACGCAGTACATCCAGTTTTTGAGCCGGCACAACTCGAGCCTGTGTTGATATTTAAACAGGATTTCAATTCACCAAAAATTGTCGGAGTGACGTCTGCGAAAGAAGATCCTTAATTCTTCAATCCTCAACAAGAGGACTGAGATGAAAGCAGAGCAGCCCTCTTGAGAATCTCTGTATTATAGATATATTTGATATCCTTCAAGAGTCTTTGGATTACTTTACTAACTGAAGAATTACAGCAAATTTTTTATTAGCTTAGATAATACAATCTTCTTCTTGTTCTGCAGATCCCAAGGATATTTATTAAACTTAAATCGAGTTCGATAAAAGTTGAACTCATGTCAAATCTACAGAGTTGAACGAACGTTCGACTAACCACAACATCCTGTTCCTGGGAAACGTTCCTGTCCACCCTTTCCTTCACAGCAGGACATGGCAATGTCACTTTTGGCAGCGAATATAGTTGTTCACTTTGAAATTATGACAGTAGATGTTCCAAAATATGGACGTACCCTTTAAGTTACTTTACATTTTTCTGATTTGTCGTTCCACTGCATTTTATCGAAAAAACAGATTCATAACCGGGATGCAGGATTTTACCTGACATCTTGAGTGTCCCAGCATTCCTTTGAACCAACTCGGGAATCAAAAACAAAGGAACCAAGGTTGGTAATTCTTTTTTGTTTTCACAGCTAATCGTTGCAAAGTTCTCCTTTCTAGCATTCTGATAATAATATACGGCCGATCAGCTCAAATGCGCCACAGTTGGCTGTCTCATAGATATTAAATGCACAGGGCCACCTTCACTTGGTCTACTGTATTTGATGAGTTAACCTCACAATAATATGTATGCACTACGTTTCGTTAGCTCTGACGTTTAAAATGATATCCTTAATAATTTTGAACGTACCTGCAACTTGATATAGCACAATAAAATAATACGCTAATTTCTAAATACGACGTGGAAGATGTTTTTTAGAAGCTTAAACAACTATGTGTAGACACAATTAAGGTACGAAACCCTTTGATCCATCAAGCTATAAGCTACTTTAAAAATACAAAATGGAATTAATTGTCTTTCAGTCGTCTGTTAAGTGCTATACACCTATTGTTAAAAAATTTTCTTTATATAATTAAACGTATTTCTAATAACCAGACTCACTATTGAAGTAATTAATCGACATTTCCTAGTCGTGTTGTACGGAAGACAAGAAATTATACCATCTATTATTGAAATTTTCATTACAATACACTTTAGCTTTCTTTCTCCTTGTAGTGGATTCATACTTAACGCCAGGTAAGTACAAGTTTTACCTCATCTTTCATAAATTTTCATTATTGCATTTGTAAATCAAAATCATTAATTAACGATCGTTAATAATAATAGCTCGTCTGAGTTAGACGGGTCCGAGCCAATGTCGGTTGTTAATAATTCTAATCAGGATGATAGGCGGAGGAAAACAAATAAAGATGAGGTTTTGTTTACAAAAATAATGAAACAAAAGAGTATATTGTCCTAAACGGTATACAGAAAGTATTAATGGAGATTCAGCCTAACAGGTGCTAAGTGTTAGTATTATAATACCGGCTTAAGGCTGCACAAAAGGAAATATAAATACGTTAACGGAATGATAGTGAGATACAGAAACCTATTATATATTACTAGTTGCCTGATGAGATAAATATTATTAATTTAGGAATTCACGGTAGCGTTAAGATCGTTCCGATACTAGGGATACCGAATCGTGTCGAGGAACATATTTGGCTTTCAGAATATGGTCCAAGAGTTAATTCGTCAATTTGCTCCGAATCATGCCAACGAACAGCTGCTATAGTATGAACTGTGGTCAAAAGGGTTGATTCAGATTTCATAAAAGTTGCGCCGGTGAACAATATTGGATATTCCTGAATATGGTCACCGGGTTAACTTGTTGGGTATGTTAATGGTCATGGCAATGAGCAACTTCCAATAGCTTTGGATATGATCAAAGGGTTGACGAGAAGAATTAAAATTTGTATGATGAATTATAAATGATTAATGATAATAAGAATAAAATGAATGGCATATATCGACGGAAGCGATACAAGTGACGATAAGAAGACATCCTGTCTGAAGCCAGAATGGAATTGGGTGTAGCTGTTCCACCTAAGTTTGATAAGAACAATAATTCTACAATGGAAGAGTCGATCATCAGCAATTCGAAGTTTGATGGCAACGCATCCTATGACTCGTCGTTCGAATTGCTCGAAAACGCAACTCAACTGGATACGTTCGATTTGGATCTGACCGAGCAACAGTCAACAGTCGCAATTGTTATTAAATAAGACAATAAGATCAAATTGAAGCCCGAAATGGGGCGAACGAGATTGCTTTATCATTTTGGCAACAATTTACGCAGCCGTGTGCGTTCGTTTTTAAGCGAGCTGAGGTGCGACTTTCTCCTAATGGTACGACACTCATGATGAAAATAATGGGATCATGCAGAAGCAAAAGCTGCGACGACACTTTTCGCGCAGAGGCTGAAAAAGAAGACGGGATTGAGGGTGTAACGGTTCGTATAAAAACTCCAGGCACTCGAGGAGAAGATCACGAAAAATCAAAGCGTCCTTTGAACGGTGAACGACAAAAGGAAGTACAGAAGGAGGTAAAAACAGAAGGGTGTTCTGCCTGGCGAAAAAGGCAAGCAAGTGAAAACATGCGACCTGGAGAAACCGAACCTCCGTCGTTACCTAGTGGCAATGTGTGCCAACAAGCGCGAAAAGAAGGAGTCGACGCTGAACTCGGAGTAGAGAAGAAGAACGGGCGGGATCTCATACGAACGATGGAGGAAATGGCGTTTAATCCCGAATACGCTGGCTTCAAAACTCATCGAGACAGCGCGACCATTCGTTCGGAGCTGCGAACAGTGCAAGAAACAAGAAAACAACTAGAGGCGTGTATAGCCGTTCGTGGCATAAATATCGAGAGAGACGCAAAGAGCTTTCGCTCGCAAGATGAGCGGAAACATCTGGAAGCAGAGTATTCAAGTGAGCCTGACAAGTCGGACGAAAACAGAAGTTGCATCGATGAATGGGTTGACGCGCAAGTTGCAAGCGCTGGAAAAATAGGAGAGAAGTCCAACAAGTTCCTTCTCTGGACCAGCGTCGGAATGGTTTATGGTATCCCTCACGCAACGTCGAACTACGTAGAAGGCTATTTTAATGATGTTAAGACAAGAGTTCTGAAACACATTGCTCGTCCCATACGTCTCTATAAATTTTTGAAAGCACGCGCGCGTGATATCGCAGTTGCGACTCTGCTGTTCTCATAAAATTTGATCAATTTCAACGCAGGGCGATGCGCTCCAAGCATCGAACCAAAGAGTAAGGTAGACATCTCGTATAGTGAGTTGCCGTCTTGTGTATTTCGTCCTGCTGTAAAGCAATTGAACGATTCGCACTTACTGTCTATCGAAAACTGGCGAAGAAAAGCCGAGATGGATCGACTGGGTGATATCGATTCGTTTGACCTAATTGTCGAAGATATGTCATCTTTTCCAGAATTATCATCGAACACTTAGGCAGCCCTCGTGGAAGGCTTAACGTTACCAGATTCTGAAAATCTGCAAGAAGACTTTGAAACGGATAATCTTAACTGAAAAATGTCAAATAACTTTGATGTTTTCAAAAGCTCAGCGAACACTCCGCCGTCAGCCAGAAAATTCGATACCGCGGACAAAAATCACGAGTCATCGGATGTGTCTATGATAGATCACTCGTATTGTGCGACGAGTAAAGCAGTTGTTTCGGACATCGATACGTTAAACTTGCAGAGCACTGGTTGCACTGAATTCGATCACAGCTCCACGAAATTGGCCGTTCGATTAGCATCCCTAGCAAAATAGAGCTGAATTTGGATGAGCAACTAACGTTCAGTTTTAATGCATCGTCGCAGCTAGTGGAGAAGTTGGACGAACAACGTCATCAGTGCAATTAAGACCCACAGAAGACAAGTAAATACTTCAAAATGTATCCGGAAGTTCGATATAGGAATAATCTCGTCGGACAGAAGGAGAAGTCCATGTTGCTACCGCACGGTTCGCGTTGTCCACCTGTGAAAATTATCGGAAAATGGGATGAAAAGAAGGCATATTATGTAACGAACTCGTGCGCCTTCGGCTCGCTAGTCTACATCCTCATGACGGCCGCAATAAATGACGTTTGTTACTTCGACTTTCTCAAGAAATCACAAAATCGTACACTCAGACTCGTGTACAATCTAATGGAAAAAGGTGCGACGCAAGCCTTGTTTCGCGGGAGAGTTATAACCCTAAAAGATCTCTTCTCCTGTATATCGCACACGCAGACAAAGTTACGAATTGTATCTTATCTGATCGGTGCTACCAACAGTATCGCAAATATCGCCGATAAAACGCTAACCTCTGAGCCCAATGTCGCAAATACTCTTTAGAAGAAGCTTTATATTTCCGATCACTGATTTTAAAAGTACGTTGTCGAGACCCATGCCTAGGATAGTACACGTGGTTACATGAACCACGAAATCACATCATAATCGAACTGGACATACGTCTCCACATCAGATGTACGACAAGAACGGCCTAAAAATAAAAATCTGTATACAGGTGTGTATAATGAGATGCTTGTTCGTTGTATTCTTAAATAAACATTTTAAATATTATTTTTAATTGATTTATTAAATTTATAGATTGGCTGGAATAGTAGCTTATGTCCCAGGACACTACGTCGGATAGTGCGTGCGTTCCAGTGGGGTTTCGCAAATTTACGACGATCTCGCGAAAGGTATCGCGACTTGTGGTTCGAGCACCGGAATCAACCCTCACCTCGTCGTATACGTAAGTTGTTAATGGGTAATCCGTTTCTATAGAATCCAACTCTACACATAAAAGAAAGGAGAACTGTACACAAGTGGAACTATTCACGGAAAACCTTACACAGGCTAAATTCACCATGGCAAGATTCACCGTAAGCGAAATTGTCCATAGCAAAACTCATTTCGGAACACACCCGAAAATATACTTAAAATACGTTTTGCAACAAATAACTATGATTTATTATTTGAGCCCTTTAAAACAAAAAAACAACATACATATTTGCTGACAATCTTCGCACCACATTTCACATCTTACCTCCACTCCCGGCCAGCCAGACGGTAGACGGTTTTTGGCTATTTTAAGCGGAACCGTCATCTTGTTCAAATGTCACAAATGTTTTAATTATTTTATTCTGGACTAACAAACGTTTCTACATCGATTGCATCCGTTTCGAAACGAAATCCTTGAAAAAATCAATATTTTTCGGCTAACTTAACACTAAAATTTATTTTCGTTATTGCAAAAAAAACTATTATCTAACAAATGTTTTAATTAGTCTAACAATCAATAACAAATAACTAAAAATCAATATGCAAGTACAGAAATTCGATATGTCGAAGTTGCCCGATCACGGAGGTTAGTATATTTTATTATGTTAACCCGTACTTCATGTTTGGAGGAATGAATAGAAACATTGTCGCCATCTGTATGTATTACTGTGAACTTATTATTTGATATTTATCAGCTAGTGAAAAGAAAAATTACAGCTAGGGTAAATGCTTCTTCTACTTAGAGTTTAGTGCATATGGAACTAGATGTCGTTATCACAATAGTTCATTGGCGATGGGAAACCTGACCTGCAAAATGTAGGTATCGTATTAGCTCGGTATTAGTCGTGAGATGAGATGAGTGAGGTGAGATGTTCAATTGTTTATAGTATGTAAGTACTAAGTACCCCATTCAGCGATGCATTTTAATTCATATTAATAATAATAATGTCAATGTATACGAATCTTGAATAGTAATCCAATTAGAAGATGAACTTCGAAAGCGTGGTGTCTCATTGAATGGAGAAAAACTAGATGTTGACAGGTGAATATACAATGG